GAACCCATAGAAAATGCGCGTGACGGTCAATGTTTATGCTTAAAGTATTTTGAATGTTATTGCAATCTCCAGCTCTATTCAGTCTTAGGTAAGGAAATGGTTTTAAAAAAGATTTTCCGTTTCTTTTATTACGGTGTTAAGAGACGATGGGACGCCAGGAGTAAATGTTTTGCATGTAAAAAGTAATAGATTAAAAGCCGTTTGATATAACATCTTATAGATAACATTTCATATTGATTAAATAACACACGATGTCAAACCCGAACTTTAATGAAAGTCGAATAATTTAAAATATCATCTATTGCCATGACCCTAAAAATCGCCAGATTTATATCCCTAGAACTTCTTTGAGACGAACTTGATACACGCATCAACCACCACCAACCCCCAACCTCAGTCAATGGAACAACTCAGTCAAGTGTTGTAATATGACAAAGAATACCACAGCTTCGAATACACAATTTGATTCGATCCATGCCAGAGAGATGCAGAACAGTGTTAGCTGCACATGGTGGTTACAATAGATACTGACTTTCACATAACCGGAAATTGACAAATTTATCGTATGTGACAGTGACGCTAGTGTGTGAAACTTTAGCTCAATATATCAAAGCATCGATTTGAAGTACACATGATAAAAAAAAAACATTTTGCGCTTCATTTTTTTTTGCAGAGTATGCTTTAAATTTGTTTCATTGTTGGATCAAACTTTTTTATTATATGTGCATGTTGGTAGAGTGTTCATTGTTCATCGATTTTTTCATTGTTGTCCCATTTGAACCAAGATATTTTGACCTTGTCGACTCTGCACACACTGGCGAATTATTAAAAAAATTTTCAGAGTTACATCCATTTTTGTTTAATGCTTTGTCCATCCTTATCATCACAAGTTCTCTTAATGGTGAATTGTACCTTTATGAACTATTAATAGCGGACAATTCCTATATACAGATGGACACTTGGATAAGATCTTCAACGACACTTCCAAATATATGACAACTGTAGGTAGAGAAAATAGTTAATACAAAGGAAATACATGGATTGACTACCGTCCCCGTATTGTACATAATTAGTGAGAACCTAATATTGATCACTAATTCATATACCGGTAACAAAATGAATATCAGAGTTCATAATGTGAAATTATATGTGTTCCTCCTTACTGAAGTTCCTCTGGAAACCTTCTTGTAACAAATGCTATTATTTTTATTCCTGTTGGCACAAATATTCTATGCTCTTTATTCCGTCAAAAATAGATACTGTTATACAGTAATATTTTTTCCCTTTGGAACTAATATCATAAAGGATCTTGTATTCCATAAAAAAGAAACAATACTCGTTATATGTAGTTCTTGGTCTGAATTGATTCCACACACAACACCATGCACGCGTGTGATTTTGGGAAAATCTGAACGATTTTTTCGAATATAAGGTTATTGTCGAGTGCCAAGATTTCTCCAAGAACGGCTTTTCCCCCTTCGTATATGTGTTTGCTTATTCCACCTACATAGGGGGAGACGGGGGGGGGGGGGGGGGGCACAAAGAAATCATTCTGCAATATAGATATTTTATATTATAAGCGCGTATAATTTTTTATTCTTCTTTTCTCTCGAAAAGATCAGATCTGCAATGACTTAAAAGAGTAAGTTTCAATCCCAGAGCTGTTCCCAAATGTATGCGGTTTGTACCCTCGCAGAATTTTAAGAACCAAACATTAATAATGATCACAAATTCTCGTTTCGTATGTGATATAATTTTTTTTTATCAGAAGAATTCGAATTTAAATTTACTTTCATTGAGAAATTTTGCCTTATAATTCACAGAAAGGGAAATAACTCAAATTGTTTCGAGCTGCCTCATCTATAACATTTAGAGTTACTTTCCCTTGTCTTTATTTATCAATTAAAGAACGTAAGAAACATTCAAAATTTACACGAAAAGAACATAAGAGGGGAACTAGTTTTGAATGTCACAAAAATATTTGTATACTAGTAGTTGATTATGAGTAGAAGAGAGGCAAAAGATACCAAAAGAATATTCAAACTCACAAGTCAAAAACAAACTGACAATGCCATGACGAAAAATAAAAAAAAAAAAAACTAAAGACTGAGCAACTCGAACCCCATCAAAACCTGGGGTGAACTCAGGTGTTCCAGAATGGTAAGCAGATCCTGCTCCACATGTGGTACCCGTCGTGTTTCAAATGAGCCTACTCTAAAAGAATGACAGTGGACGGGTCTGTTCCGTGCGAGGAGTTTGGTAATCTCATAGGGACCAACCACGACCACGTAAGTCGATTCCAAAGAAAATGTAATGCTCAAAGCCTGTGATTCTCTGGGTGTGTACTCACGACAAAAAACACAGCTAATATGGTTAACATTAGATTTTAAAAAATACAAGATGTAAAGTAAGTTTCTAACGATGAAAAAATGAACCAATCAAAAACTAATATAATTCTACAAAGTTGGGATTATAAAAGTTTTATTATCTATGAAATTAGTCACAGGGGCTCGTTTTCTAGTCGGCAGTATGTGCAAGTAGACTGACATGCATTCTAGATTTTACAACCTCAACACTTCTTATGAATTAAGCCCTTTTCAACTGATTTTTATAGTTTGTTCTTATGTTGGTTGTAACATCACTGTCCCGGATAGGGGAGGGTTGAGCGCTCACAAAAATGTTTAACCAAGCCACATTCTTTATGTGCCTGTCCCAAGTCAGAAGCCTGTACTTCAGTGGTTGTCGTTGGTTCTTGACTGATATATTTGCTTTTCGTAAATTGTTTTGTTATACATTAGGCCATTAGTTTTATCAATTGAATTGTTTCAAATTTTTCATGTCGGGGCTTTTTATAGCCGACTAAAGGTATGGGTTTTTCTAATTGTTGAAGGCCGTACGGTTGCCTATAATTGCTTACATTCACTTCATTTAAACTTTGGTGCATAGTTATCTCATTGGCAATCATACCACATCTCCTTATTTTTATATTATAAATAAGTAGCATCAATATGTCCCTTGTCCGGTGGACTAGCATAGACGGGCAAATAATACACGTTGAATCATTTATTGTCGTGGGTATCAATTTTCGTGGATTGAGGTAAAGTTGCATTTACGTCGGATATTTGATTTCATGGTTTTGACAATATCTGCATACAAGTAAATAGAAATTTATTATTCGTTGAACATTGAAATTCGTGGTTCACCTGTATCCACGAATTCTACGAAAATTGGTGTCTTAACGAATTAAAATAAATCCACAGTAGTCTTGTCCTCGGCGTGATCAGACGAGGCAGTCCAGTAAAGATGTAGGCGTAGGAATACATAAATGAGACAGCACCAACGACTCAAACAACCAACAGGCATGCTTTTCCCTAGCAGGGTTAAGAGCTTTGAGTTTGCCTGTTATACATAGAATTGAGAATGGAAACGGGGAATGTATCAAAGAGACAACAACCCAACCAGAGCAGAAATCAGCCCAAGGCCACTAATGAGAAAATCTCTACAGTTAAATTAGAGATGAGTGGGTTTTTATTGTATGTATCGTATGTCATATCTTAAAGTTTTTCGTTATTTTGAGAATTGGGTTTTCAGGGGAGATTTTTTATCGTTTCTGTTGAATGAATTGATCACTTTTAATCCTGATAGCTGTGTTAAGTTTTTATTGACTTGAGACGATTTACAGCTAGACATATTGTATGAGGGTCTGAATTGGGGGTCCTTCATTTCTTTATTCTTTATTGTTTAGACCATTTTTCTCTATACTTTATTTTTGAAACCATTTTTCTCTATTCTTTATTTTTGAGACCATTTTTCTCTATTCTTTATTTTTGAGACCATTTTTCTCTATTCTTTATATTCAAGCACCCCATTATATATATATATATATATATATAATTAAGATCCATTGTGTCACATCTTGTGATCCGTTTATTTGGCAATCGCCAATGGCAGTCAGCAGGGTTTAAGAACATCCGTTGTTCGACCTGCTAGTCAAATGCGTTTTGTTAGAATAAACTTTTTCACTTTTTTGGTCTATTGGAAAATGTTGTTTGTTCTGTATCTAGACCTCTCTACCAAGAAATTTGTTTTGCATGTACACGTATAAAAATTGCGGTTTTTATCCAACGCAATCATAGGTTTGAACGTTGTTTTCAATATATATATTTATTAAGATAAAAGGCATGAATTTGACAGACACAATAAATTTAAATGACATACATATATAGCATTGACATTAATATGGGTTCACACACAAAAGTTAATGAAACTTATTTCCAGTGGGGTCCTTTTATTCTCAATTTTTTTATGCCCCACCTACGATAGAAGAGGGACATTATGTTTTTCGGTCTGTGCGTCAGTTCGTTCGTCCGTCCGTCCGTTCGTCCGTCTGTCCCGCTTCAGATTAATGTTTTTGGTTAAGGTAGTTTTTGATGAAGTTTAAGTCCAATCAACTTGAAACTTAGTACACATGTTCCCTATGATATGATCTTTCTAATTTTAATGCCATAATTAGAGTTTTGACCCCAATTTCACGGTCCACTGAACATAGAAAACGATAGTGCGGGTGGGGCATCCGTTTACTATGGACACATTCTTGTTTGGCCTATTTTCCTTTATTCTTTATTTTTTGGCCCATTATTGTGTAGAATTGGTCCATTATTCTCTATTCTATAAACCCCATCAAGACCCTCTCTCATTGACGTATTCTGTAGTGTTGGTCCATTATTCTCTATTCTATAAACCCCATTAAGACCCTCTCTCATTGACATACTCCCCACATCTATTATTCATACCGAGTGTACGTAAGAGTTTAGCTTACGGTCTTTTGATTTGAACTATTATAGGGGTTTGGAACACTTTCCTTTTAAATCTATTGCATATATATATATATATATAATTTTGCGTGGATTCCTTCAAACCATGCCCGTTTAGTTAAAATTTATTATAATTTATCGTAAGAAGTAAAACAATAACTTTGTAATTCTATCTAAGTAAATTTATTACTGGCATGATTTGGGATGTGTACCTAGCAAGTAGCTTTCTTCTCCAACAAATATTTTTCCTATGGTAAAATTTGGCCCATCGTCGCCAGAAAAATCCAGTGTTCCTAAGCGGACTTTGTGGAATTTATTTGTAACAAAATATAAAAATCCATTGTCTATGTGCATTCCATCTGCGAAATTTAAGGCAGTGGTTGGTGACAGCATTTGTAATGACCGCAGGTTAACTTCTTCTTCGCTGCCGTCTATTTGTATGTCTTGTTTGCGATCCCATTTTAATATATCATTGATTTCTAAAGCAGGAAAAAAGAAGCTTCTTGTTCCGGAAGTCAGACTTACTGCATGGTGTTGACGAATACCTATCATTCTAACATTTTCATCAAATGTGATACTGTCAGCGGAAGGGTTTCTCAGTATACTTGTAGGTATTTGCCATGTTTTGAAACTAGCAATGGAGAAATAATAAACAAATTTGAAATCTGACGTTGTTGAGATACCATTTATTCCTCCCCTACTAAAGATCGTTTCTCCATTTACAGTTATATTTCCTGCACTAGCGTCGCCTTCCATTGACGGATGTGAAAACAACCAAGATGTATTTGTAACCACATCAACAACAATAAGCTTACTTGCAATAGAATCGACAACATAGGCATACCTAGTGAAATCTTGATCTCTATCCAAAGTCAGATCAAACAGCATGGAAGATTCAGATAAAACCGAGTCTGGAAATATATGCCGAAACACTTCTTTTCTCGTTCTTATGCAAAATATTACAAGTTTTCTACGACAAAATCTTATGTTATTCACTTGGCCTTCGTCCAGTACCCATAGATAATTCGTATTTGGATCTATCTTAATGCCTGATGCACTTTGAATGCTATTGCAATCTCCAGCTCTATTCAGTCTTAGGCTAGGAAATGGTTTTAAAAAGGATTTTCCATTTCTTTTGATAACTGTGTTCAGACTTGCTGGAATTCCGGGCTTAGATGACCTACCTATAGTTGTAAAGATACGTCCTCTTATCACATCCATTTCAGTAAGTGCAAGATTTTCAGGAATAAGCAACTTCCGGTCTATAAGCGATCTTTTCATTGGTGGAGGAAGGTCATAATCAAGTGTCACCCATTCGTGTATAATTTCTGTTTTGCCTTCAATATTCTGTGCTGAAAAAAAATGATTAAAAGCATTTCATTAAAGATCAAAACCAAAATAGTCATTGTAAATTCATTAACAGCATGCAATTGGGCCGATCGCATGCTTTTTCTTTCTGCAATAATAATCAATTTTAATTCATGCACATGTAATATGATTTGATAAACAGTGTTTTGCTTGACGTCCAGTGGCAAATATTTAATATAGATGTCATCACTATACATCATGTAGAATACATTTCTCTCCTCTAGATACATTTAAACGACAGGCTAGGTGAGTGATTAAAACATTTCACATTTAAAAATAATCGCATTGCATGAAACGCCGACTTTGCATGTAATAAAAAAAAGTTTACAATATTTTTCACATCTTTTATATTTCTTGAGGTGTGTACACTCTATTTTTGTTTCATGTTTTGTATCAAAATTCTATAATCAACTTCTTTCTATTTACATACACTTCTATTTTTCTGGTATATTTAATAATCAAAGCGCTAATTTTGCATGACATGTACCTTACTACAAGCCTGGTGACATTTACTATTTATTAAAAGTTTAAGAAATAGTATTAAAATTCATTTTTGTTTATAGTGACGTTATACTAACTTGAAATAGAGAAATTAGTATTTTCTTAATCGCATTCCTTAAAAAAATTTATTACCAAACACAAAATCGGTACCCTATAAGTAAACGTATAGTAAGAAAACAAATTTGTGTCTTTTCAATATTAAAGGGTCAGGAATGGCTATTCATTTTTTGTTTTTGTATTTTTTTCTGCACTATTTGACGAATAACAAGTTATCTTAATTAATTTGAACATAAAAAATGCCTTTAATTTTTTTTTCATACTTACAATTTCCGTTTGCGTGAGCAATGGCTATTATAACACAGATGCCAAAGACTGACAGTACAATGTCTCTTGCCATCATCGTAGTCCTGTAGAAAATCACTTCTTGTTAACATAAAGCAAATAGAATTAATGATGAATTTCACTAAAATTACACAAAAGCAACTTGTTAACAAATGTGACAGATGTTTGTGAACTTGATAAAAATCAAATTAAAGTACACGAGGGTCTTGATGGGGGTTCCTTCATTTCTTCATTCTTTAAATTTTAGACCATCCTCTATTCTTTATTTATTTCCCTATTGTTCTCTTTTCTTCATAATTTAACGCTCCATTATTCTCTAATCTTTATTTTTCTCTTTTCTTTACTATTTTTTTCCCAATAATCTGTACTTTTTGTCCATTACTCTCTATTCTGTAAACCCCGTAAATGACAGCTGTAACACAAGTAACCCTGTTTTCTTTCTTTCTTCTTAATCCTTCTAATTTTATCCTGTACATCTAATTTTATCCTGTACTTCTAATTGTATCCTGTACTTTTAAAATTTTTCTAAATGCCATTATTTTCATTTAGTTGTTATATTCAAATCTAAATATTTGTTTATCCATCTGTCTTCTTACAGCAAGAAAAAGATCTAATTCTTTGCAGTAATATTGATGTTCAGTCTAAAGGGGGGGGGGGGGGGGGGCAACTTCCATTATACAAGGTGCCGCTGGAATAGGTAACATTTTCCAGCTTGAAAGTATGTGAATCGGTTGGGGAAAATATCAGAAATATATGACAAGGTTAATAAAGTTCCCATTACTTGTTATATAAAAAGCCCTGTAATTTTTTCACAGCCGAAAGTTTCGCCGAAACCCAACCAATATGGGAAAAGGTTACATTTTTATCTGTCAGATCTAATTGCAGTGAAGCAGGTGATAGTATCGTATGGAAATATATGCGATTTCTTTCATTTAATAATCAATGTTAACAAATATAGGGTTTAGAATGGGTTGTAAGTTAGTTATACACCTCGGGATACGGCGTGTCTGGATAAGAAACCCCTCCGGCCTCCGGCCGACGGGGTTTCTTATCCAGACACACCTATCCCTCGGTGTATAACTATTACTTAAGTATTAAGACAACATGTGTTGATTTCTATTTTAGACTTTAATAAAGGTAAAAATATAATTTAATTTTGATATGATTTCTTTTAATTCTAAAATTATATAAAATCGGTAAAATTAGTTATTTCTACTTTGATGAAAGAAATTGAAAAAAGATCCGCATGCAACTGTAAAAGATTTTATAGTATTTTTATCGTTGAATATGCTTTTGATCTGCATTTAAGGAATTTTATATATGATGCTTGCTGTATAGTAGGTATACGAAAGGCGCATCTTTGGTTTTTATCACTAAGTCAATGTCACTGCTGGTGGACATATCGTCCCCGAGTATATCACCAGCCCAACATGAAATATAATTGATACGTTATTTTTGTAAACTTTTTGTTTATTGAACTTACATATCATTCGAAATACTAAGGTTTTTTTTAACCTCAGGCATAGATGGCCGAAGCAGGAATTGGCACTATTTTTCGGAATATTCTTTTTTCAATGCTCTTTAACTTCCTTATTGATGTGACCTTTAACTCCACATTGTATGTAACTAAAACGCGTGTCTGGCATATTCAACTGAAAGTCTTATATTTTTTATGTTTTTTTTATAAGTGAAACAACAAGATATAGTTTTCCCCTTCTGATTTTATTTTTAGATTTTGAACTTGTTTCAAGAGTTTTTCTTGAAATAAAATGTTGTTTGTGATCAAGCATATTATCGATTCTGTCAGAAAGTAGAGATAGGCGTTAAACAGAGAAACGTAAAAAAGTGACATAGATAGATGAGAGAAGAATTAAAAGAAATAAGCATTACTTTGCGTCTTGTTTTTGTGTCAATTTTTCGTATGTTTCGTACCAATCTGTTGATTAATTTCATTTCCAACCGTTTGTTCCTATACCACTGTCCAAGGTTAGGGGGTGGTTGAACGCTCACAAACATGTTTAAGCCCACAAAATTCTTTATGTACCCTTTACAGAAGCATGTAATTGCTGTTGGTATTCCAGATTTACGGACGAGTACCAAGGAAATCTGACAAACGTTAAAGTAAAGAAACGAAGTTTTTTAGCCACATTTGCTGAATGTTATTGTTGGACAGCGGGAAATCTTTCTGAATGACAAGTCCAGCACTATTAAGCTAAAGTAGTCATGGATTTCCTAACTCTGAACAACATTCATGTATCGCCATGACCCTGAAAATCGCCAGATTTGTATCCCTAGAACTTCTTTGAGACGAACTTGATACACGCGTGAACCACCTCCAACCCCCAACCTCAGTCAATGGAACAACTCAGTAAAGTGTTGTAATATGACAAAGAATACCACAGCTTCGAATACAAAATTTGATTCGATCCATGCCAGAGAGATGCAGAACAGTGTTAGCCGCACATGGTGGTTACAATAGATACTAGCTTTAACGTCACCGGAAATTGACATGTCTATCGTTTGTGACTGCTTTCAAATCTTTGTTTTATGTTATGTATGTATATGACGTTATTGTATGAAACTTTAGCTCAATATATCAATGCATCGTTTTGAAGTACACATAATAAATAAATTATTTTGCGATTCATCTTTTTTTTTGCAGAGTATGCTTTAAATTTGTTTCATTGTTGGATCATTTTTTTTCAATCATATATGCATGTTGGTCGAGTGTTCATTGTTCATCTTTTTATTCCTTGTTGTCCCATTTGAACCAACATATTTTGACCTGATCGACTCTGCACACACTGGCGAATTCCCACAGTTTCACCCATTTTAGTTAAATGCTGTATAAATCCTTATCATTACAAGTTTTCTTTTTTGGTGAATTGTATCTTTTTGAACTTTTTATAGCGGTCAGTTTCTAGATACAGATGGATACTTGGGTATGATCTTCAACGACACTACCAAATATATGGCAAGTCTAGGTAGAGAAAATGGTTAATACATAGGAAATAAATGGATTAAAATTCAATATTATTGCCAAATGTGTCAGAATTCGTAAATGTTTTGCAACCGTAAAAAAGTAGGACCTTCAACTTGATCATCCAATTCAAGATATCTAAATGCAGTATATGGTATAAATAGAAGACCAAATAAAAATGTGTACTTGGTGAACTAGAGAATTGTCCGAATGGAAAACACATTTTCTCAGAAATTGAAGAAATACACATCAATAAACAGTTGATCAGATTAAAACACAATAGCAAAATACCATTTTTGTAAATATTATAAACTTTTATTTCTGATGTTGTTTTTCTATCAAATAGATATCTTCCCCAACAAATATCTTCTGTTTACACAGATTTGGTCCATCATTGCCTGAAAAATTAATGGTTCCTAAACGGAATTTATGTTCTTTGTAATGAAAAATAGATATTCGTTGTCTATGTGCATTTCAGATACAAAATACACAGAGTGCATGGTTGGTGACAACCTTTCTAATGACCGCAGGTTTACCCCTTTTTCTTCGTTTTTGTACAAGGCCACTTGATTTCTGTGAACATGAAATACCTCCAATGTTCATGCAATTCCCTTAGCTGTATCATTTACCAATATATATTTATCAAAACATTCCAGAGGCGAAAAGTTTTCGGATAGCTTGAAACGTATGTACTAACTCTACGCATTGATGTCCAAAACATTGCTCCACTTCATTCGTTTTTTTACATGTACCTCCTATGGATGAAACAAATAACTGTCTTACTATCTAATTCGATTACCTGTTTACTTACCCACTTATTAGAAACTATTTACTAAATACACATTAGATAAAACATTTCTACATTATTCGAAAAAATTCATATATAACAGTTTAATTTCAAACAATTTCGCACAAGACAACTTTCCCTGTTTGATGGCATGTGACAAAAATATGTGTTGCTGTTTTTCTTGACACAGTGTCATATCATGCATGTTGATAATAAAATTGTTTTCAAACTAGTTGAAATTGCAGCTCTTGTGCCATTTATTTGATTTATATCGAATGGACTGTTTGGTAGCTTAAGTTCAGCGAGACAGTCTCCTTTGTGACTATATTTCAATACACTCGATTTCTGACTGTGCGTCATGATCAGTTCATCTTTCATAAAAAGACTACTTAGATAGACACACTTTCCATTTAGGTCAATACTTTTTATCACATTAATGCTCCCAGTGTGAAAGTTAATGGTTTTGCCTATCGATAGTTTCGGACAATTTTTATTGGTTTCAACGAATTTAACTACTCCTATAACTGCTACTTGTTTCGCAAATTCTTCTGCTATATCATTAGTCTCTAAAAGCATGGAAATATTTGTTATTTCGCTCACCTCTGGTAAATGCATCACCAAATATTTCCTTATTTTCGTTAATTCTATTAATTTCCAATAAACACTGGAATTCAGATTCATGTTGCAAACCGGTATCAAATAAAGTAATCCAGTTATCAACCGTACTTTTCAGACTCTCAAGATCTGTTGACTTTTCGGAAAGTTTCAAAACTGCTTCTTTCATCGATTTGATTATTTCTTCTTTAATTTGTTCTTCACTTTTGTTTAGATGTTTGACAATGTTATCTTTTATGGTTCTGACTTTTGTCAGAATAGCTTGGGCCTCTTTTTCGAAATCGGTCAAATGGTTTTTCCCGTCACGTATTACCTCTGACAGCTGTTTACTTATTTCTTTGAGTTCTGTATACAATCCCATCGCTTTCTGTGATTTTCTTATGCCTGAAGCTGCCTTCTCGATTTTTATTAAGTCATCACATTTCCTGTGGGATAAAGTGGCACATAATGTACATAATGGTTTAGAATGATCAACACAGTAAGCCTTTATTACCTCCCCTGGATGTTCTTCGCAAAATATCAATAAAGACACGATTACCGTTTCGTTATTAGTTCCAATGTCCTTCAGCGATATTATCGGGTGTTTTGCTGTCATCCTAAATGATTTGTGGTATGTTTCGCATGACTTGCAAAACGCCTCTTCGCATACTGTGCACCAAGACATCGCTTTTTCAGATTAATTGTTTACCTTACATGAATCACACATTTTTTCGCTTCTTTTTATTTCCTGCCTACCCATCATTGAAGCAACAAAATGATTTTCTGGTAATTTTTCATCCCAGGTCTTCGGATTAACTGGTGATTCTCCAATCAAAACATTCTGTCGACATATCGGACACTTAAACTGTTTCAGTTTTTCACTTCCCCACGGTGGACAGAATGTAAGTATTTATGCATGTCTTGCAGGACGTATGGAGACAAGGTAAATATTTGGGTCCTGTTAAGGTCTCTAAAAAAATGGTACAAGTCAATAAATCAAATTTTTTTTCGGTACAATCGCCATTTTGAAAAATAGACTTTAAACTTCCTTTTCACCTGATAGTTCGATATGTTATTTGTATGAGGTATATTTAGACTATATACTATATAAACAAGTGTAAATAATTTAAGCCGTTGTCATATATGAACTAAATGGTATGATGGGGTCTTGTATAGCTTACTAAATAGTATTGGTATAAGGTCGTATGGTGACCTGTGGTTGCTTAAATCTGCTTTAGACTTGTGTAGTAATCTAATGCTAGTATGTTGGTATCTGTTGA